AATACAAATTACCTAATTTAAAATTTTCGACCGTTTTAAAAATGTCAAATTTACTGCGCATGCGCAAATAAAAAAAAGTAAAAAATTAGAATTTATCAAAAACATATGTATTTATAAGTCCTGTACCTGTAAAAAAAACCCGAATTAAATTCAAGGTCTTGCGTTTGAAATATTTCCTGTTCCCTTTAAAATTGAACACACAGTATAGTCATCCTTCCATAATGTGTCAGTTGAATTAGAATTAGAATTATTATAATCGCTATCATCGCTAGATGTTTTGTCAAAATAATTTTCTTCGTTAGAATAATCAATTTGATTTTGTGACGTACCTGTAAAAGGGCCAGGAGTAGACTTATTATCTGGACTTGAACTTGGACTATTTGTGTTTCGACGACCTCCTGGTAGAAAAGTTGGGTCATTGTCAGTATCATCCGAAAAAAAATAACTGTCAGAGTTAAAGACGGTGTCTGATAAAAATTGGTTAATTCGATTTCCTTCACGATTAGTCATTTTAATTTTTATATAGGACACGAATAGTTAGGGTTACCATAATATTTTTAGACCAAATCCGGACATCAGTTCTATTTCACCGGGAGAGAGGGGGAGGTATAAAAATTGAAAATAAACAATATTGTTATTTCTTTAATACAATTTTACTTAGATTTATGAATAAAATGTCTACATAAGAGCAGTGGCATAGTTAGGATGTTTAAATGGGAGGGGCTAATCACTTTTTTGGATAAGTAATGTAAGAGAGGATATGAGAAGGATATGATAGTGATAATCATGGTAGAAACTAGAAGTATTAGTAATCTGTAATATCTACGCCTAAGACAAACACCTATTATTCGTTAATCGTCAAAATTTAGTTAAAACCAAAGGTTTAAAATACTTAAATAAAAATAGTAGTATACTAGTTTAGTACATAGATACACTATACATATAAACACGGCCCATGGAGGGGGGGCTATAGCCTCCTTAGCCACCCTCTTGGCTACGCCACTGCAAGAGTTATTAGATTAAATATGTTAAAACAATACAAATATGATGTATAAAAAAATAAATAAATTACATATTGTACATTTATACAGAATGAACACGAAAATCTGTCACCTGATATAAAATTTTGTATCAATATAACCATGTTAAACGATTATCTTTGTAAAATCCGGACAGATGTTTGAAATCCGGACTGTCCGGACGTATGGTTACCTTACGAATAGTATAATAAACAAGAAGCTTATTACGACTACAACATCGAACAAGCTGAATGTAACTAATAAACATTGTCACACGGCAATAAAGAGAAAAGCGGCCCATACACGTTCAATATTATTGAAAAAATATTGACGAACATTGACGATGACCATCGACGTATCAATATTATTGAAAAATTATTAAACATAATATCATTATCAAATTACCAGGTCCGTTATAAAATAGTAAATCAGATTTAAACTTGCTTTAAACAATTTATTCATTTTAATTATAAACAATTATGTCTGATAATTTAAACAATACTATAATAGCTCTTGCTCTAGCTATTTCTTTTCTTGATAAAAGGAAGAAAAAACGGAAGCAGAGGTTTTGGGCTAATGAGAGATTGCAGAAGCGAAATAAATATAATTGTGAAAATCTGTTATCTGATCAACGATTAAACCAACCTGAAGATTATTGAATTTTTATTAAGAATGAACGAGTCATGCTGTGATGAACTTTTAACTTAAGTTACTCCATTAATAAAAAAACAAAATACAACAATGTGAGAATCGATTTCAGCCAGCCAAAGACTCCTTGACTCCGCGTTACTTAGCCACTGGTAACACATTTGAAGATCTCAAATGAATTTTATTCATTTATTTTTAATTTGTTCAATATTATTGATCAATCCTTCAATACTGCCAATACACGATCAATATTATTGACAATATCAAATATAAATCAATATTATTGACCGTGTATGGGCTGCTAAACGCTGTTGTTGATATTTGATAAATATTATTGGAATTACCTATGTGAACTTATAAATAAAATTGAAATAATTACCTATAAAAATTCGATTTAATTCGACAGTGCTCAAATGCGCAATATGCTTAATGTGGGAAACATAACTTCCTCTTTCATAAGAACCATTGGAATTATTACTGCTATTACAGTAATGCCACTGTAACGTGGTCGGGGATGACCAGTTAAATATATGATATTCAGGGAAGGTTTTCTAGTCCTTATGAATATATTGTACCGTAGCATGGGAGCATAAGAGGAAAGATCTTGATATTACAAATAAATGTAGATTGGTTTAGATTTAGTTATTATTCAATCTACATATATAAATTAGACTTACGGACTATGAAGTTCAGCTACCTCGGACGAACGTTGTGGCAGAACTGCCGCGACTTAATGTAATAACATGTAAATTAACGTGATGTCTACTCAGCAATATCCATATTACATGAGTAGACATTAATAATATGTAACAATCGTTACACCACATTTAAGAAGGTTTTTAGCAGTAAAATTGACCGAATGTCCGTCAACGTGTTAATAAATTTGTATTTATGCGTTTTCGCTTTATTTCTTTTTTGTATTATGACTTCTTTTGCACTTTTAATTTTTATACATGGGTCAACTTATATACGAGTATAACTAGTATTATCAAAAGTAAAGGAACTGATATTACCGATATGTTTCGTTATTACTTAAAAATACATTTGGATTTATCTTACCATTTTATACGCATGACGCAACATTTCACATGTACATATACGATACGGTAGGAATATATGTATGATTTAGGTACTATAATAAACTGTATATATGTAGGTATGTATATAAAATAAATTGCCGCAGTTTGTATAATGTATCTTATCAGTTTCGTCGTAGATTGTAAAATCTTAATTTTTTTTTGCCGCGGTTTACACATAAACTTTTAGAAAAAGGTTAATCTTTCCGCAGTTTACATACAGCCATTTTTACCTATGTACGTCTCCAAGATTAGTATGTGACGCTTAATGTCCAGAAACAGGAAGTCATCATATGCGATAACCTTATTAATACTTGTATGTGATATCCATAGAATTTCCCATTATTAATCCATACCAAGGTGGATCCACTTGATCCATACATATCACATAGTAATGTGACAAGAAATAGCATAGATATATAGATAGGTATATTGCGAAGTACATAAGAGGTTAAAAATATTAGCTACGGTATATCGCATAGGTAGGTGAGGTAATACCTAGGAATAAGGCGTTATAAAGCATTATGTCACTATCCTACCTCCATATAAATAAAAAACCATCAAGAGTAGACTGATTAAAAATTGTCTTAAAAGAGCTATAATGACTGTTTAATAAAATAATGTACGTATAATGTTTTCGTTTGGTATCTATACCAGGACCTCTTTTATTATTTATACACAAAGCAAAGGATTATTTAATATATGCTAATATACTAGTTCAACCAAAAAATTAGTAACATATCATAAATAACAAATAATTTAGTTAGCTACCTAGTTAAATACTAATTCATAAATAGCTCTATTTTTGCTATTAATAATAGAAATTACTAATAAATTACTAATGTAGATAAAATTCTTTTAGCTAGAAAGTAGAGGATCATCATATATATCGAGGAACACGAAGACAAGAGAGGCAGTTGGATTCACTCACACATCACTCGCCGAAGATTCTTTGGACCGACCGTTATGACTTACGAGTTTATTTCTCCAAGCCCTATATCGCATTATATTTTGGAGTTAAATACATTTGATTTGTAACGTCTACCGTGTTTACATTCCTATTTATTTATCACGTTTACAAGTAATCCAAAATAGAAAAAGATTACTAATCTTTGCTTTTGCCAGACCAAAATGCTAAACATCGTCATGACTTATATATATTTAGTAGTATTTTATTTTACATGGTATTTCAAAAAAAAATTTAAAAAAATTATTTAAATGTTTATATTTTCATATATTTTGGGTAAGAGCATATTTTTGCATATTATAAAAAAAAAATAAGATCATATCAAGTGCATATTTTGAAGTTTTTTGATGTATTAATGTATACTATTTTAGGCATTTTGAGTGCATACAAATCCGGACTCTAGTCATTATCATCACACGTCGTACGCATCTCGCCAGCGGAACCGGACACGTTGTGTAAAAAGAAAACCATGATCACCGTCGAGATGAACCAACCCGGAGGGGCCTGCGAAAGCTTCTGGCGATAACCCGGACGGAAGAGAGTGATCATTTTTCCAGCATTTCCCGGTCGCGATTGTTCCAGAAAAGGGCGATTTAAGACTTATTCGCGTTTTGTTAACACGCTACTTTAATCGTACGCGATCGTGATTAGTCTGCCGTCTACGTTTTGTTCTCGCGCATGACGATATTTTAGCCGCGTGCCTATTGAATGATGAAATGCATCTTCGTTACATATTCAGTATGTAATAGAATGATGACAAATTATGATAAAAAACCTTTAGATTATTCAAAGCGTAAAAATATCAAGCAAATAAAATATTTCACTTTGTGTATGTTATAATCTTATATAATAAATAAAAAATATATAATAAATAAATGTTTAAACAAAACAATTAATAAATAAAAAAAAATATTGGTCGTTGCATGTTAAATAATTATAAATTTAAAACACATAGACCAATAAAAATCCACAAATATCATTTTTAATATTATATTTTTAATAAAAATGTTAATCCATCTACACAAGGTAAAGTAAAATCAAATCAAACAGTACAACTATTTCAAAATAATTATATTACTTATATTATGACAAAATGGTTTTTCCTAACTAATAAACACACTATTGGAATGTGTTGGAACAAAACGACAATATATATATATATATATATGTGTATATATGTATATAGTGTCATTGACATAGACATACTATTAACCTTAACTTAATTCTGAAAAGTAAACGACTTTCAATTTTGATACAAGCACTAACAAAAGTCGAAAAAAAACAACAATATTTTAAAAATTTACAACAATATAATAAACTCAACACAAATTTGTTTATGACCGTAACAAAAATGTTTGTGTGGTTTTAAAAATGTAATTTTGTTAAATGTATGTATAAAAAATAATTATATTATCCAAACCTATGAAATGATTAGCCTAAACGTTTTTCTTAAATGCTTTAGTCAGATATCATCAGTGTTACTTTGATACAAGGGACGAGGAAATAATCTGTGCAATGGAGTTGGCAGATTCACCTTTTACAATTTGCCTGTGGTCACCAGACACAGAATGAATATTTAGAGAACCCTTGCATAGCTGTGGAACAAAAAAAAAATATTATTTAAAATTCAAAACAGCAATATTCAACATTAACCAATAAATGATAAAAAAAAAAAAAAAAATCAACAAAATGATAACTATTTACACATAGAGTAATACTATAAGAATCTAATATTTACTGGTTTTAATCCATAGTCGGGCCCAAGAGATACAAAGTTGTCTTTGGCTGTAATTAATGTGACGTTTCCATTAAACTTCTGTACGGGTTTATAGTAGAATGAAACAAACAGTTTGCCGTAGAATAGTTTTGCAGCAGTTTTAAGTTCATCTTTGTTTAAAGGTAAATCAGACAAAATATTAACAACTTCTTCTAATTGTTCTTCTTTTGTCTTTTTGGTAGAGATTTGTTCAAACACCTAAATAAATGTAACCATTTGATATAACATGTACTACATAGAAATATGTCAAATATTGCAAAATAAATTAATTTAATCTTACCACTTGGTAGTCCATTTCCTTGAAGAGCAATACGAAATAAGTAAAGGCATCTCTATGATCAACTTTGTTGTCAGAATGACGGTTCTTCATTGCATTTTCATGAGTCAAAACATAAGATGGAGAACCATCTAACAAAACTAGGCTAACTTTTTCACCAGCAGCTTCTAATGCAACACCAGTTTCAAAAGCAACAGATGCCCCAAAAGAGTACCCAACAAGGTTGTATGGTCCAGATGTTTGGATTTCTTTAATTTTCTACAACATTCAGCAAATACAGTATTAGATGCTATAACATCACTATTAAGTAAAATTATTACAACTCACAGCAATAAAGAATTTGGCCATAGATGCCATAGAATCGATAGGAGCATCTTCAGTACATTGAAGTCCATAAATGTTATAAGGTAATTTAGATGCTACTTCTTCTAATGCAGACACAAAACCTTCAATAGCGCTGAACATAAACACATTAGGTTTATTGCTTTCACCCTTTTTCATGTTAACAACAGTTTCTAGAGGAACTAAATTTTTATTGAATTCAACCTAAAAAACAATACAAAATAAGGTAAATAATAAAATAAACATAAAAAAACCCATTTACAAACCTGATTGTTTCCAGCAGTTACACCATTAGCAACTTCAATTACTTCTTCACTACCATCATTTTGAAATTCTTGCAACTTTTTAACTGTCAAAGTTCTAATTTCTCCAACACTCAACACCAAATCATAGTTTCTTTCTAGTGTTTGTTTGATTTCAGCTCCCATCAAAGAGTCCATACCCAAATCGGCCAATGTGGCTGATGCGTTAATGTTCTTGGTATCCTTGATACCAAGGATATTGGCAACAGCCTCAATAAGGCTCACTTGATTAGCACCACCTGAACCGCCCTTCCTCTTCTCAGCTAATACCATTGAAGCCAAAACAGGTTGTGGGTGTTGCAAAAATATATCAAATGAACTCAAACATGATGCCATACGCTGAGGTAATGTACCACCAACAACTGTGTCATTTCCACCCATTGTTTCCATAATAAGACCAACATCTCCAATTGCTCCCCATTGTATAGCCAACTAACAACAATTAGAAAATCATTAGTTTCAGATTAAAATTGCATTATAAGATATGTTATCTATTTAAAAATGGCTTACTCCTGGCAGTCCAGCATCTTGTCTAGCTTCACAAATCCTTTCCATAACGGAATTGGCAAAACCATAATTGGTTTGTCCAGCATTACCACGTCCACATGATACAGATGAAAATACAACAAAGTGGTCTAGTTCAGGGCAAGATTTCCTGGTAACAACATCCAAATTTTTAGTTCCAATCACTTTAGGTTTGCTTACAATTTCAAAATCTTGTGGAGTTTGATTTTCCAAGAATGCATCTCTCAACACCTAATAAAATTATTAATGAACAATTAATATTATTAAAATGAATACACTAAAATAAATTATAATTAAGTAGCTTCCTTAAAAATATATTTTATTGTAAATAATTGATGAATACATTTGTTAAGGACTACACAAAAGGTAAGTATAAAGATATTTCTATTTAAAATTGTTATATTCAATATGATGTATTTAATAAAAAATAAACTATCAAGCTAACTAAAATATAAAATATCAATATAGCTAATACAATTATTTAGATTACTTACAGCAGCCAAGTTGAAGATTCCTCCAACTGGTCCTAATTTATTACTTTCATCAATTAATTGTTGTGCTCCATTTAAGGTTGAACAGTCAGCTTTAGAGATCAGTACATTAACTCCTTTATCTTTCCACATACTAACACAAGAAGCTTGATAACCTGTTGTAATTCCACTTCGAGCAGTCAAAACAAGGTTCTTGGCACCTCTGACAACCAACCAATTGGCCAATTCTAATCCAAATCCTCCGAGACCACCAACAAGGACATAAGTCTTGTCTGGGTTCATGTATGATCGTGGGATGGAAGTGAATAATTTTGTGGTAGGCTTAGTCACTTCTGTTGATTCTTCGTCTCTAATTTTCAAAACTACTTTTCCGATATGTTTACCGGATCCCATATACCTAAAGGCTTGTTCAACTTGAGATTCAGAAAATATTGTAGCTGGAAGAGGATTAACAGCACCATTCTTTATTCCTTCATTAAGCAATCTTACAACTTCTTTCTTGTCATCATTTTCGGACTTTGCATCAAACAATGAATCCAAAAGAATTCCATGGAATGTAGTGTTTTTCAAGAAAACGGACATTCCCAATGGAGAATTGTTTGACAAATCTAGTTTTCCAATTTCAAGGAAACGACCATCCTTAGCCAAACAACGAACAGAAGCTTGAAGTTTATCTTCAGCCAATGAGTTCAAAACAAGATCTACACCTCGTCCTTTGGTTTCTCTTAGTACATGTTGTTCAAAACTGGTGTCACGAGAGTTGGATATATTTTTGTCAGTTAACTGAGAATAAAAAAATTAATTAGAAATTACAAATTGAACACAAAATTATACAAGAATAAGTAAGTAGAAGTACCTGAGGGAAAGTCTTTTTTAAGAATGCCCTCTTATCTTTTGTGCCAACAGTTGTATACACAGTAACTCCCATATGAAGAGCAATAGAGATAGCTGCTTGACCAACACCTCCAGTACCTGCGTGAACTAACAACGAATCACCTGGACGCATTCGTCCTCTTACACAAAGAGCATAGTAAGCCTAAAAGAGTAAATAATCAAAATGTGTTAATACAATTTCCATCAGAGTAACAAATAATGCAATATCTTACAGTTCCGTATACAACAGGAATGGTTGAAGCTTGTTCTAATGTCCATTTGCTGGGCACTTCCCATAAGAAACCAGGATCAGCGAGAACAGTAGTTGCTAAACCTCTTGCAGCAAGCATACCCATGACTCTTTTACCCTGAGAGTTACGACCAGAGAACTCTAATCCAAGAATACAGTCCTTAAACAAATACCAAAAATTAATCATTTATTACTAATACAATGTTTATCAAATAAACATACTTGTCCAGCCAAATCACCAGGCAAAGCATCGGGAGGAAGTTTTCCTGAAGCCAACATTATGTCACGGAAGTTGAGTGGTGCATAATAAACAGTGCACAATTCTGTATTTGGATTGTATTCCGGTCTAAAATTTAACAACTGTATAAGTTAATGTAATTTATTATAATTAAATAAAATATTCTCACTTGAAATATGTCAATGGACCTTCAATCCATTTCAAACTACTCAAATCTCCACGAATCAGAGCATTGATATATGCATGCTCCACTTGTAATGTTGGTTTATCCTGTTGGTTTTCTAATTTCAAATGCCTCATTGAACCCCACACTCCATTAGGCTTCAATATGTTGCTTAGTAAATCCTTTTTCAATTGATTTGCGTAAAGTGGAGCGGTTAATGAGAACTTTGGTGCTGTGGGGTCTTGAATGAACACTGATCTGACATTGTTACCACCGGGTTCTTGTTTGACACAGTTAACTAATCCAATTATTCCGTTAGTACTTTCTCCTTGAGCGTATAGGACTATGTTCTTGCTTGGATCAGTTTCAACAGTCTTAAGAGCTGATTTTAATGTCTCAACCCATTCATATGATTTTTCTGATACTTGAATTACTTCAGAAACGGGTAATTTTTCACTTAGCTAAGTAACAAATACATATTTAAATAAAATATATTAAACAATATAGTTTAGCAGGAAAATATCTCCATACCTTTCTTAGTAAGTAGAATATTCTATCATCAGCTGATGATTTGCTAATTAAAACAAGATTATTTTTCTCAATAGCGCTTTCAGGCACATTAATGGATTCAGATGTCAGTATAAAACCACCATCTTTCACGGTTTCTGCCAAATTATTCAGTAGATTTTCTGATTTTAAAATATCAAAAGCTATTGCAACATGTGCGTTGGATTCAATTGGACCATTTTCTAATGATTTATTAACCATTTTTATTTCCATTGGTCCCAAAAATGGAGCCAAAGCTTGTATTTGAGTTGTAGCCAACATTGCGTCCAACTAAAATCATACATGCATTATATACTGAGTGTTTATCTAATATTTTTTACTTATATACATACAGATATTAAAGGTTCAGATTCCAATATGTTAACCACAGTAGGCATATATATTCCTTCAAATGGTTTGTCACCTCCAAACTCAACTACTTTCACTTTCATTGCACCCGCACTATTTTCCAAAGCCACTTGTAGATAAGCAGCAAAAACATTGGTTACATCTGTTACTGATGAAACCTATAGAAATAAGAAATACATAATTTCAGAACTTATTTTTATTTTTTAATTATTAATTAATTATTAATATAATTTTCTGTTTGGAAAAAAAAAACATTTAGTACCCATGAAAGTGAAAATTACCTTATCAGTAGCATACGGTACAAATGAATATTTTTCCAATTTAGGAGCAGCTTGTGATTGTTGTCTTCTTGGTGCTAAACTTGCTTTCATACCACGTAATTCAATACCACCAGATTTGATAACATCAATATCTCTGTACATATAAACAGGAACAGCTGTGAAATAAATAATAACAATATAAATAACAATTATAAACATAAAAATATTATTAACATATATTAGGTTAAATTATACTTACTACTATTTTCACCTAATGCTTCAATATATTCTAAATGTTTAACTGGATCAATAATAACTCTTTGCATTCTTGTAGGCAGATATAATTCTTTCACTTTCAAACCCAAAATAGAAAATTGGAGCATTGTGTCAATAAAACTAATCCAGTTTCCAATCCATTCTAACTGTCCTTTAGTGCCTGTTTAAAAGTTAATCATTGTTAGTTTATTGTAATCAATGAAGTATTGAAATTAAGTAATCAATATATTATTAAATCTAAACATATTTCACCCCGATTATCAGCTTCTTTTACTCCACGGAACACTCCTTTATAATCATATCCTCTGAGTCCCAAATCTTTATATATATCTCCAGATTTTAGTGGTAATGAGTTTTCATCAACATAAGGTTCAGGTAATTCTAATTGTTCGGTGTCAATGTCATCAGGGACATAAATTTTACCAGTAACTGCAACTGAGCCTCCTTCACAAATCTCAAAATTGCCAGTTCCTTCAAAAATGTTGATGAGGAAGTTTACATTTCCTACATTTAAAAACAAATTAAAATCATTAATTAGTTAAAAAATTATTTATCAATTTGGTTTTAAAATAAAATGAGATTATTTTTGATATCATTTATTCCATTTAAATTCATATTTTATAAATTTACAAGTACATATTTTAAAAATCAATAATTACCATCTTTAGGCATGATGGTTGCTCGCAAAAATTGAACATTTTCAATAACAACTGGGAAGTCTTCAATGTTCTTATCTTGAAGTTTGGCAAAAGTCTGCCAAACTAAAGTCTATAAATGTAATAATATGTTTTTAAATAGTTTGAAATAAATACAATCATTTTAAGAAGATTTAATCTAACCAAGTATCCAGTAGCAGGGAATAAAACTCTGCCATCGATTGTATGTCCAGACAAGTATTGATCATCTTCATTACTTAGATCAATTTTGATGACAGATTCACCGGATCCAGCTTCCTATAATTTATCAATTACATACAATTTATTTTTAAAGAATTCTATTGTTCAATATCTAAAACGAATCAAATTATCATTTATCAACAAATGTGTATACGAAATTCACCTTTAGAGTAAAGTCTGAAACAAGCCATTCAACGGAATGGTCCCATTCAATCATTGATTGAATCATAGGTGTTCCACGAGCTACAGGATATGAGACAGCTGGGTATAAGTTTTTAATTTTTGGTTGAAGTCCAGCATTGTACAATCTATGGTTATCAATATAAAAAATTAATAATTTACTTCTATAAGAAAAATGTATAAAATTATCTCACTTTCCAATGGCAGATAATAATACAGAAATGTTTCCTTCAGAGTTAGTTGAACGCTTAGTAAGACCAATGCAAGAGCACTCTGGTCCTAGTGCTCTCTTTAAAATAGCTTGAAGTAATGCATGCGGTGCAATTTCTATAACTATAGCATTTTTTGGTACATGAGCAAGAGCTTCCTAAACACAAATATTAAAATTCAGAAAAATTTTCATGAATAAAATTAGCACAATTATTATTTATTATCTTACATGGAACAATACTGGAGCTAATAAATTGTTCACATGATAAGCAACTGAACTCAATTGAGCAATAGGTGTGTTCCACGATTCTTCAGGGATGGAAGAACTGATCCAACGAGAAGTACGTGGTTTCGGATTTGGTAAAATCTATTAATAAGTAAAATAAATAATAATGATTAATGGGTAATTATATATTTGTTTGAATTCATGTTTTTTTTTTTTTTAATATAATGGAGGAATATATATATATATATATATATATGACAATGAAATTTTATAACAATATAAGAAACTTACTCTTTCCAAACTGTTACGCAGTTTAGGTGCAGCATCAGCGATATATTTTGAATGGAAAGCATATCCAGAACTTTTAACTTCTTTTGCAAAAATTCCTTCAGCTTGTAAAGTCTTAACAAAGGCAGAGAGGCTCGCAGGAGGACCAGATACTGTTACGCTATCTACACTATTATGACAAGCAGCAATCAAGTCAGAAGGCAATCTCTTTTTAGTTTCTTCCCAAGATAATCCTTTAATTTTAAAACACTTTTAGTATTTATGTAATAAAAAAAACTATGTGCAGTTTGACAGAAATATAACTTACCAACAGCAGCCATTGACCCTTGTGGTAATTTAGATTCTAAAATACTACGGCCTCTCCAAAATGCAGCTAAAATTGCTTGGTCAGCATTAAATGTACCATCAGCATATGCACAACCAAGTTCACCGACCGAGTGTCCAATAACACCATCTGGTTCAATTCCAATTGATTTTAATAAATCAACTAATGCCACCTAATTATTTAAGAATAGTTAGTTAAATATATTTTATATTTTTATATTTTTGCATTTGAATAATAACCTGCATGGATGTTATTGAAACAAAAGAGTTAAGAACATTATCAAATGTTGATTCATCTTTTGAATTGAGAATGCTCAATAAATCTAAGCCTTCGACTTGGAGTACAGCTGCAGCTTTGTTAATGGCACGAGCAAATGGTTCCAATTGAAGAAGTCCATCAATCATACCAGCCCATTGACTTCCCATACCAGAAAAAATAAACCACACTGGTCTTTTATCTATTTTTACTTCCTACAAACCAATAATTGAATGATTTAAGAAATTCGAATAATTTAATATTAATATGAAGTTTACTTACAGACACTTCAGTAATAGATTTTCCGAGAACTGAATATCCTCTATAAGCATGTCCATTAATGTTGTTTGTATGAATGTCATGTAATAATCCAATTAACTCATCATCATTTGGTGTTTCAGAGACCTAATAAAAGGAAAAAATAAATAATTGCAATACTCTACTTATACTTATTTAAGGAACATACATTTTTCAACATATTGTCAACGGATTCATTTTTTCTTCCAGATACAGCAATTAAACGTGGTATATTATTCAGTATTGGAGTAGTTTTGGATTTAGGGTTGGACTTCAATAATACATGAGCATTAGCACCACCGAAACCAAAAGAGTTAAGAGCAACATAACTGCCACTGAAGTCCCAGTTTTTATTTACAACCTATAAGTTTAAATCTCATTAGATGTAACTTTAATAAAAAGTTATATCATGAATTACTTGTAATCTGCCATCTAATAATGCAGGAATGTCAGGGTTAGGGTTGGCGAAATGAAGATTTGCAGGAATTTTTCCCGATTCCAGAGCAATGACAATCTTAGCTAATGAGCACAGACCAGAAGCAGGTTCAGAATGACCCATGTTTGATTTAACAGAACCAATTAATAAAGGTGAGGTACGGTCTTTAGTGAAAAATTCAGCAATTGAGTTAACTTCTTGTGGATCACCAACCTAATATACAAAAATGACTTATTGACAATTAAATATTAACTGTTGTTGAATACTAATCTTACCTTAGTTCCAGTTCCGTGAGCTTCTACATAAGATACTTCAGATGGATGGACACCACACTTCGCATATACTTCTTGGATAAGTTTATTTTGCATTTTTCCACTTGGGAAGGTAATTCCTTGGTCTTTAAATCCATCAGTGTTGATAAGCGCTCCTTTAATTGTGGCATAATTACGTTTTGCAACACTAGCCTTTTGCAAGAAAACAGTTACCACAGCTTCACTTCTTACATACCCATTACCTACAGTTAAAATTTCCCAATTAAAATTAAAAATGATTAAAACTATCAATATCAAAAGATTTACCTGTCACATCAAATGCTTTGCACACTCCTTGTGGTGATAACATGCTCAATCTGTGAAATTGTAATGAAGTGGTAGGTTTTAGCAACAAATTAGAGCCTCCAACAATAGCTGCATCACACTGTCCACTTTCAATAGCATGCACAGCTTGTGACAATGCAACCAAACTACTGGAACAGGCTGTGTCTATGGCAAAACTAGGGCCATTAAAATCAAAAGTGTATGAAATCCTGTTGGCAAACATAGCTCGGCAACAACCCGTCAGTCCATAACCATTAATACGATCTGCCTGTCTAGTTATATAATCATCAGTCTCACTGTTAGATGCACCAATGTACACTCCAATTTTTTTTCCACGGACATCATCTGGGTTCACTCCTATTGAAATTATTTTTATTACAATTACCTAATTTGTATTATGTAAAAATGTATGAAGAACTACACTCGAGTTAAATAAAAATATGTAAATATTAAAACTAACCAGCATCTACAATACATTCATAAGTAGATTCTAAAAGTAATCTCAATTGTGGGTCCATAACTTCTGCCTGTTTAGCGTGAACTCCAAAGAAATTGGCATCAAAATATTCCAATCCTTTAAGTTTTCCAGTTCTTGATGGAAGGCCATAAAGACCTGAATAAATTCATAATGAAAAAATCTTATTGACAAAAATGTTTTCATATTAAATTAAATAATTAAATTTTTTTACCAGCTGGCCAACGTCGTTCATCATCATTGACCAAGTCTATACCGGCGAAAAGATTTTCTCTAAATTCAGCAATTGAATTAGATTCCGGAAAACGTCCAGAAATACCACTGATAACAATTTCATCATTTCCAGAATAAGAGTTACCATTTACAGCCCCATTGGTAGTGGCTTGATTAGTCTGTGGGAACCTTGCTGGCATTGTGCCTTCAGCTACTGTAATATAAAAAAAAAAAATATTTTTAATAACTTAACTTTTTATTTATTAAAAAATTAATTAATTTAAAAATAATATATAATAATAATATTATTATATTATAATAATTAATAGTAATAATTATAAACAATGATGATTATAAAAAATTATAAATAACCTTAGAAAATAATATCCATTAGATGTTATGTATAACCATTGATTACAAATATTTATAAATTTATAATGAATAATAATACTTCAATACTAAATTAAATTCATGCTGATTTTGTCAAATACACACCTAATGACATATGTTGCCTTCTTAGTATAATGTTTGATACCTAACTGATAATGTATTTTAATTTGGATTACATTGAGATGGTTAATAACTGTATAATAAATATAATAGTCAAATTGTATTGAAAATAAAAATATGAATAATAGATAAATGATAATTATACATATGACTACATAGTATGTAGTATCTGATGTACAATTACTTAGTGCAATACTGCATTATTTTGTATTTATAATCATAAATTAGTAAACCATAATAAAAAATAGTATGTTTAATTATTGTTTACAAACAACAGTTTAAGTAGAACAGAATTAATATTCACCATATAATAATTAGTAATAATTTAATACCTATTAATTCATATTCAATATATTTACATTAACATACATTTTATTTAAATATTAGCTTTTTTTAAATTATATGTTAAACTTCACTCTTATAAATAAACCATGTGGTGAATTTTGAATTGTTTTAAAATATAAAATATTAAGTTCCATTCCCCCCCCCCCAAAAAAAAAAAAAAAAACGAGAAAAACCTTCTAACACCAGAAACCAAAAAATTACATATTATAATATTATGTAAGTAATTAATTGTTTCACATAGTTATATAGCTATATTACACACAAATTATAACACAAACATATATTTAAATTTTAAATTCAATACTCTAAAAAATCTCTGAAAAAAGTGTGTTTTTAGAAACATTATATTGCATTTCAATGGTAATGATTGGTACATACAATAATTGTACAATAATACGGATAACATACTTCAAAAAACTAGTTTTTCTTCATTACTACTAAGGTCAAACTAGAATTCTAGATCAGGTTATTACCAGATATAAATAATTTAATAAAACCATGAAAAAGTTTCAATGTTAAAAAAACAGATTTTTCGAGATTTATTAGTCAAGAATTTTAAATATTGACGACCATGAGATGAAGTAAAATATAAATAAGTAATATGGGCAAGTTGTAATTGCGGAAATGCAATTAAATAAAAATTGTCAAATCTATCAGCGTAACTATGGTTGTAACAATAGAATACTAGAAAAACATTAAAAATTAATAAGATACTAACCAAAATTAATCACGCCACATGTTTGAAATGTTTACAATTAACACACGCGTACACAATACATATGCAACACGCACACACAAATCAACTCGATAAAAACGATTTATAAGTTAATTGTGTTGTTCGAAATACAATATATTAAGACCTTTTCAAACGAGTGTTAGTAACATAGAAGATAAATAATTTCATGTGACATTCATAGTTTTATACATCAATTTATGCATTTTGTAACGAGAAAAACAAAAACTGTAGTCATCCTAACTTCAGCAAAAAGATTTTAGAAATCGTATTAAACATTAGTTGTACGATATTTAAATTTAAATCATGTTTAATCCATCCAAATTTCAATTTTCGTTTTGATGTGTCACTCGCGTTGTAAGACGATATGAAACGTCTCGTTGAAACCTATGAGAAAAATAGTTGTTAAGTCACGTGTGCCAGTAGCAATGTGCAACGTCGGACGGTTTGTGACCATTGAAACCATGAACGGTAAAATATATAGTAATCTAGATATAAATCTATAGTCTCACCAGTTGGACGGATATAATAATCTAAATTCCAAGAGACGACAACGATAGACTTAAGTCGTCAGGAAACAATGCAGAAACAATGTACTCGTCGTCATCTCGAATGGAGGGGGGGGGGACAATTAATGATTATAATAAAAACTGTTAGCGATTAATTCCGTGACATGCAATTAATAAGATGTACGTACTATTATCGCTTAGTTGGAATAACTATTATACAATTACAACGCGGAATTATAAGGAAAATAATGTATTTGTGCGTCGTCTAACAAAAATTCACAGTGCTATTTGATGAAGAACGCATTTCCCCCCCTCTTTCAAATTGCACTGCCGAGACACCAAGACAATCTTTGTAGTGTAAACTGTTTCGTATACGATTGAACAATTGTATTGGAATAGATTAAATTCGCAAATTAAGTTACGTAACACAATTGATTTGCATGAAAGTCGCACATTAAAAATATCATACTCCAATCTAGAGTATTTACAAGAAAAAATGTTTACCTCACTGAAAATGTCTAAAGGGTATGAAACAAACAAAAATGTACAACATCGAATTAAATGTTGTATGATATTAATGATTTTAATATTGTCGTTACTCAGTTTTTGAACGCAGCCGAAGTATCATCAATTGATTAGGTACATATAAATTTCATCATCCACACCACCCTATCACAAAATCGAGCTAAGAAAATCTGTACTCAATTTGGAAACCGGAAGGTAAACAAATTTATACAAATATTTAAAAACTACAATGTTCGTGAAAACGAGAATTTTTCTCAAAACAGTAAATACCTACATAAATAGTGCATAGCACTCAAGCAATTACTGATTAAAAAATGATCATGCTATAACGGAAGATAGATTTATGATGTTCGTGCGCCGTTCAATTGTCTACGGAGTAGAACTGAACTATTAAATTGATTTAATTAATATACATCGCGTTATCTGCAGCTCGAAAAATGATAAGGGGAACGCTGTTATCAAATAAGGTGGATGATGAGGAGAAGAACCGAGAAGTTGAAGCGTGCCTAATCTCAAGTATTCGTTTGATTATTATTAATATTCTTACCCATGCCGTTACTGCTGTAGATATTCGTTAGTAGTGTCACTCGTTAGTGTTAGCACGACGGATGAGTTTTGAACGGATTGCCAGGTACTATTTTCTTCTCTACAAACACTTATGCGACTTTTAACCGACCGAAGAACGTGTGTTTTAATCGTAACTCTGTCCACGTGTATAAATTTTCGCCGCGTCAAAAGCGTCAAACGCCGATTTGGTTACACGACGACGACAATATTATGCGATATTATTGATTAAAATATAAAAACGTAGAGTAGAAAATTTGCAACACAACACGGTTGAACAAGACTGGAGTCGGTTGGTCAGGGCACAGGAAAATGTCTTGCGATGTTTGCTGCGCAGTGAATCATCCACGGGTCGCCAAACGAACGAAATGATATCTGTCGGGAATCGGCGTAGAACGTGAATAGAAAGAGAAAAAAAACCGTTTCTGCCGGACGGCGGCAGAGCGGTGCAAGGGAGGAAGTGGCGTGGCCTGAGGATACTCGGTGGCGTGATACCGGAACAGGCGATCTGATTGGTCGTGGGATCGTTGGCACACAGACACTCATAAACACAGAAACACGCGCCCGCACGCACACAGACATAGACCACTGGCAGGCGCAGGCATGCTGTCGGGTTTTTGGTATCCTCGGCCGCCGCAACAAGCGCTGCCGGTACCGCGCGCCGCCGCCAACGCATCACAAGGTCAATAACGTAGCGAGATCTGCCGGCGGCGAGCGCAACAGTCATATTTACGCACCGGTTTACGCACAGCGCACTGGGTCATCAGAATTTCGACATAACTACTGTTTTTTTTTTTTTTATTTTCCCTCCCCTATTGGTCGTTCACTGTCAAACTCGTTTCTTACTTTTACTCCCTCTTACCGATTATCCGGTTCGGAAGAAGAAACTGAGAAGTTCAAGGCAGTTGGGTATAATAATGTTGTATATTAAAATATAACAATATTGTTACGATAGGTTAATGGGATATTTTCGTTTCTCTCGCCACCACCTTCCTTCCTTAGCCGCGTGTTACTGGAGTTTAAACGCAGGACCACGTGTAGGAATTCGAGAATTTTCTATGGACTGGGTCTTTCGTTGATCGTAACCCAAGGTTAAGGGTTGGGTGGTCTTGTTTTCAGATCACATATCTACGTCGTTACTTATTGCAACTCTGCAAATTACCCATCCTACGCGTCCGTAGTTTCATTATTCTCGTAGAGAAAAACAAATCATTGTATAAATGCTTTCATTTTTAAAATTACTTTGAAATTAATTTTACTTTTATTTTTAAAATCGTTCAATGTTTTAACGGAATGTATTAGTTGAAATTACAAATGAACTGTAATTATAAGGTCTTAAAAATATGCTTATCATTTAAAATTACACGTAATTACTAATAATTTATTAGCATATTTAAAAATAAGATAAAATAATGAATTATTCAATGTTCAGTAGTATAAAATGTAATTTTATTATATTATACGCTATAATTTATAAATATCTTAACTTTAGTTACCGACAAGAAATAAAATCTCAACACTTCTTACAGTAAACATCACACTGGAAGCTGATAAACAATTATACTAGTATAATAACTTTTAAATTAAGTGCATTTTAAATTCCCTACGTAGACAACAGTTTGTATTCAATACAAAAATTGCATACTTATGCCAATTACAGTTTACTGTGTAAATTGTAAAAAATTATAAATAGTATTTATTGAATATTATAAAATAAACCATTTATCAGAAGGAAAACAATTTTCCTAAAATATAACTATTATATTTTTTTGTAAATGTACAATAATGAAAAATTTAAATATTACTTAAAATACTGCTTTATCGTAATCGAAATAAATATAATTATTACATTTGAAGTACTTCTTGAAAATAAATCAATAAAAACAATTAAATTGTCAATTCGCTATAGAAATTTATTATATCTATGAAAAAATATTTTCTAGATGATTCATGTATATATATAGTTCAAGTTTAAGAAAATAAAATAGATTTGAGAAAATATAAATAACAATTTAAAATACAATTTAC